CCCCCCCCCCCCCCCCCCCCACACACACACACACACACACACACACACACACACACACACACACACCACCCCAATCGCTTTGGCACAGTCCTGGATTGCAGGCACGCTATTTTTTTTCTGACAGAAGAGTGTATGCGCCGGAGGAGCCCACTCGTGTGCGTGGGCTGAATGCAGAGGGAGAGATCACCTGTCAACAGGCGCAGCAATAGCTGTACTGGCGGTTAAACGCGCGAGGAGTGAGAGACGCGCGGCGGGGAGGAGGGGGAGGCAGAGAGTCAGCAGAAGAAAAAAACAGTAAAGTGGGGATAGGGAAGTTTTTGTGCAGCACGGTGTGAGCAGGAAACACCGTGCATGAAGACTGATGAGCGCGTGAAAACATCTTTGTGTTCATGAGGTTTTATTGTTTGGCACCGTTTCTTCCTGTGTTTGGAGCGCTTGTGAAAAAGAAACGACCTTGCTGATGTGCAGAGTAACTGAGGTTTTTATTTACAGCAACTCGGGCTGAGAAGCTCTGCAGAGATGCATGCGGTCCATCATGGGTCTGCTGTGGTTTCATGAAAGATCATCCAGAAAAAAAACTAAAAAAAAAGAAAAGACTGCGCTGTTTGGAATGTCTGCTGTGGATGAAGTTTCTGTGGTCAGAGGAAGCTGGAAAAGTATTTTTAACCATCAAGGAGAACACCATGTACAATCCTCACACCTCTCATCATGCTGAAACCAGTGAAGCATGGTGGTGGGAGCACGATGATGAGGAGTGCTTTTGTTTGCAGGAACTGGGGAAGAGGGAGGGAAGATGCAACATTTGAAAAATTAATAAAGTGATGGAATATTTTACTTAAACAATTGAGACACCAACAGAAACCTTCATGTTCAACAAATCATCAAACTCTGTAACATTATCGTATGTATCTTAGGTTTCTTCAGAAGTTATTTTTCTTAAATCAGCTTCACTGTATTTGTTTCCATTTAAATTTCAGCTACTTATTTACTTATTTAATCTTGTATCTATGGGTTATCTAATTTTAACATGAATATATGGTTTTCCAATTGTATTTAAAGTTTAGGTAATTTTAACTTTTACCTATGACTATTTTAGCCATTTATATATAGTTTTTATATTTTAGTTTTGAGCTGTGATTTTGATCATAATCATAGTTTTAGCTCAAATTTGATTAGTCTATAGTTGCCCATTTGTTGATTTTAGCTTTAGGTTATACTTTAGAAAAAAATACTATTAACTATTATTAGCAAATGTTTGTTGGTGTTTGTTATTTGTTTGATGTTTGTTGATGTTTGACTCCTCTGAGGCAGCCATAGCCAAAGTGGTTCAAAACATCAAAGTTCATGTTCAATAATCCAGGTAAAAATCCAACAAAGTTCAGTCAGATCATCTAGACAGTTTCATTTTTATTTCATTTTTTGAGAAGTTTCGTCCTTCATCCAAAGAGGAGTCAACGAGGAAGAGGGCAGGCCCCAGACACCATCTTATTTCCAGCAAACTAGTTGGTCCATTATGGGAGTGTGCTGCTTGTGGGACGGGGTTTGTTTGTAGCTCCTCGGACTGAATAAGTCCTTTGGATGAAGGACGAAACATCTCAACAAAAAAAGAAACCGTCCAGATGATCTGACTGAACTCTGTTGGATTTTTACCTGGATTATTGAGCATGGACTTTGATTTTCAAATAGACCTGCATTTAACAGAAATGGGAAAGAATTAGTTTAACTCCTTTATCGTTAAATATCCAAAACTTTGCAGAGGTTATTGCAAATTCTATTTTATAAACCGTTCATCATAATCATTTTCACGTGGTTTGGATTTTAACTGGTATATTTGTGTTTTTTCAAGCACAGATAGCAGCAGCATATTTGATGTAACTGTTTTGTAGAAATATAATTTTTCTGTTGAACAAAAAAATTGAATTCAAAACTGACTGTCAGCAAAACTTCTCATGAACTGCTGGAAAAATTGTAATGAAACGCTCAAAGAATTTATTGGATGAACATTTAAACTTCTTTAACATTTAGTTATTCAGTTCACGTTGGCTGCTACAACCAATCTTTGTTCATACATAAATGATTATAACAGCAGTTTTACAGATGTTTAACTAAAATCTAGTGTGGAAGTGGCTGAGGGTCATTCAAAACACAAACTCTGAGTTCTACAATGTCTTGCAAAATCTCACAGTATTGCATGAGATTGTGAATAATTATGAGGTTTGACCAAAATGAGTAAACTGTGATATGAAAGACACCAAGTGATGTGCACTCCTTTAGTTCTAAGCGCGCTGCTCGGGGTGGCTGCATGTTGGAGCAGCTCTGTTACTTTCATTCTGAGTTATTGATTTTGAAATCATTGATTCCTCTTTTTTCTGGATGTAAATCGCTTTTTTGGATGATCATTTACCCTGGTGTCAGATGCTGTGTAGCTGGAAGGATTCTTACCAAAACCTTTTTACTTTTGGGCATTTGTTTTGATGTGTAACCATGGCAATAAGGTGTTTTTTGACCACACTGTAGTACAGCCCCAAATCACAAATGAGTTGAAAAGGAGGCGCCTTGGATGAATTCCCGTCAACCTGGCAGTGGTGCTCAAGTACCTGAGTGCTGAGATTCTGGAGCTGATGGGAAACTCGTCTCTTGACAACGGGAGGACCAGGATCATCCCCCAGCACCTTCAGCTGTGTTTTTGTTGCGACAAGGAGCTCGGCAGACTGCTGGGAGAAGTGACCATCACTCAGGGAGGAGTTCTGCCCGGCATTCAGGCAGTCCGGCTGCCCAGGAGGACCAAGAGTCCCGCCGGTTCTGACAGCAAGAAGGATCCAGGTGGATGGATGAGAATCTGTGACCAGATTCTTTGGATTCGTTGCAGGAGATCCTTCCTGTCCACATCTATCAGTATCTACAACAACTTGGGGCAGCTGTGGCTGAGTGGTTAGAGCAGTCGTCCTCCAATGCAAGAGTTGGGGGTTCGAATCCACCAGCAGTCACATGCTGAAGTGTCTCTGGGCAAGACACTGAACTCCTCATAGCCTCTGATGTGTGTCCCATCAGTGTATGAATGTGATCTGAAGCACTGATTAGTCTCATTAGAATGATTTGTTCAATTAGCTTTGTAGAGATCTAGTAGAGTGCTGTATGAATGGGTAAATGAGGACACAGATTCTAGTGTAAAGCGCTTTGAGTATCTTGAAACAAGATAGAAAGGCGCTATATAAGTACAGTCCATTTACCATACAGCTCTTGAATGGAACCAGGATGATGAGCTATGACAACACAATTTCTCTTTGGGATTAATAAAGTATTTTTGAACTGAATTGAATTAAAGTAGTAAACATTATCTGTAGTCCTTAAAATCTGTCAGGTTCCTGGATTTTCTACTCATAGTCTCCGTCAACAGTTTATAATGTCATCACAATTAAAACAAATATAAACATATCCCATAAATCTTACTGAACACTATGTTCCAGATAATTTCAACATTTTTTCTTTATTTTCTTTTAATCCAATCTTTGAGAATCCAAAAGGACTGAGCTGCCACACACCCATCCATGGGGGCCGTTCTCCACTCGCTCGATACGTGATCACATTTGGGACTATCTTTTTCAAGTCATGACGTCCTAAACTCCAATATCCACAGGAAAGGAGATGAACCTCACGAGGCAGGAATGTGCTCTCACATGTTCAAGTGAATTCATGAATCATTTCACAGCAGGACTCCGTCTTCTTGTTCATGCCCAGCTGCTCACCATGTAAAACTCACGCACACACTGTGTCATGCTCTGCATCCATCGCTGGCTCCTGCTCACTGTCGGTGTTTAATGAGCTCCTCCCGCAGAGATCTAATGTCACCGAGCAGGCTCGCTGTTGTGCGCTTGTGTGTTAGTGTGCACATTTTTATCACAGTTGTTGCTGTGCCTACAGGTTGGCTGGATTGCATTGTCTAATTTCTCAGGGTGAGACTAATAATCTGATGGAAAGACAGCTTGACAGGCGGGTGGAGAATCAAGGGGTCTGGCTGAGAAAAAAGTCAACTGTCGTGTCTGAATCAGAGCAATGTGCTGCCCCTGTATCGCCCTACAAAGCCGCTGGTTTTGTTGCACAAACATCAATAAGGCATGTCCGCTTAATTGAAAAAAATATATAGATCTCCTCCTCTCTTCTCAAGAGCTTATCCATCTTGTAATTTGCCCTTCTCTCATCACATCACCTCCACTCTTTGCTCTTCAGCTTTTTTCCCTTGCAATCCTCTTCATCCTCTAAAGTTGTCTTGCATTTTCCTTCCCTTGTTACTGGTGAGTGAGAAAAGAGGAAAATGGAACTGATGGGTAGACATGGGAGATTGTTTCTTCTGCTTGAATAACCCGAGCCTTGTTACACAATTGGATCATCAGGTTTAGAACTTTGAGAACGATGTGCAAAGGAAGCATCAGAGGACAGTGACTGAAGGGACGTGAGATGGAGGCAAGAAGAAACAAAGTTAAAGGCCCAACACTCTT